CACCATGTGCCTCGACCTGGTTTAGGGGGAGAGAATTCAATTGCTTATCTCAGAATTTAGTAGGTGGGTAATGTAGGAGTCAGTGGGGGTTGAGAGGGGAGTGGAACAACTACCTAGACCTGACTTGATGGTTTGGAAAATAGAAGCGGGTTAACAGGGACCCTAGAAAATGTGGCAATCAATTGTTTATACCCCTGATTACTTTTTGGTGCACGTATCGAGTTGCTGCTTTATGGCCAGTTCAAAGCACGGCTGTTGGAAGGGATATACTTGCACCAGGTCTTCGGTAATTGAATCTCAGAGAAATGGGTGAGACCTTTCAGTGGTCTACCTAAATCCTTCGCTTTGCGTAGCAGGACTCAATCTAAGAAGGCGGGGAAACTTCCTAAGACTGGGTTCTTGTTAAAGGATTTAATTTAAATTACCACCAAAAAGGAAACCATATTATTGACTATAGATACCCATCATGGTAACTTAAATAACATCCCTTAACAAGAGCCCAGAAGACCCTTCACCCGTCTTGAGGGTTCATGGGCTTCCAAGCAAGGTTTACGCACAGCGAGAGTCCCTCAATAGTGGGACACGTTGAAAGCCTCGAAGAGCCCGGGAAACCCCAAAGCACCAGTGCATAACAAAAGTGGCGACAGCACTCAGTGACTTTTAAGGTTTTGGGGATCACGGTTTAGGGTTTTTAGGGTTTAGGGCCAGGGACTCCTGACACCATGCAGTCTGCAATTCTGCAAATTCCTAGTCCCTCTCCTTTACTTGGAGCGACATGCGACTGAGTAAGTTATTTGGACCTCTAAGTGATCGTAAGTATAGCTACTTCCGTATTTGTAACCCTGGCAAGTCACTAAGTCCCATGATCCTTTAAGTCAAGCTCTGAACGCTAATGGATCCCCTGTTGGACCCTTATGGATCCCTCTACCCTGATCCTCTAAGAGACAGCCTTCCACTCCTGAAGGCCCCTACTTGGAGGTTCATGTGTAGTTGTAAGTGGGGCTATTTAGGGCTTAGGGTTGAGGTTATAAGTAGGATAACTATAATTACAGCCCATATTAGGGGACTTATAACTTTACTTATAACTACCCATGCACCTCCAAGCATAGGCCCTGAAAGCCCGAGGTACCGATACTGCTCTGTGATCGAGAAGTACGATGCAGGGCAGGCTTGGTTTAGGGGTTTAGGGGTTTCGGGTGTAGGGCATCGCTTGGAGGATCATGGGACTGAGTAAGTAGGAATATAAGTCCCTTAATTTGGGTTATAAGTGCTTTTTTTGTGCAGCAACCTTACTTACAACCCCAGCTGTTAAGTCCAATGATCCTTTGAGTAGGGCTCATGTGGTCTAAGCCATTCAGGACTTAGGACTTCCCGGGTAGATTTTGTTTGAGTTTAGGGTTTAGGGTGTTGGGTTTAGGGTTTAGGGTGTTGGGTTTAGGGTTTGATTTTTTGATCACATTCCAGGGCAGGGCCCTGGAGCCCTCACGTAGTTGGCTATCCTGCTGCGACCCTCTTGCAACCGACTGACTTCGCCTGCTGATCCTCCCATTGGAGTTTGGGGCTACGGTTTTTGGGTTTAGGATTTAGGGTTTATTGTTGACAGAATATCTGAGGCTTGGGACCTGTGCACAAAAGCTTTTGTAACGAAAAAGCTTTAAGGATGGTTTACACCCGATGAAACTGGAGATTGGATGCCGCCCTAAAGCCCAGACCCTAAGCCCCAAAAACCTAAACCCCGAACTGGAGATTGGATGCCACCTTGAACTCTTTCCCTAGACCGAATCCGATTCTAACAGTAAGCAGGAGGCCCCCTCGTCTGACAGAAGTACATGACACGCTACCCTACTTATCGGCTACCCTCAAAGGGATCCACCAGGGCCCTATAAGGGATCTATGAGGGTTTGGAGTTTAGGGTGTACTTAAAGGATCATGGGACTAAGTAACCACGGTTGTACATAAGGTAGCTATACTTGTACGTGCTTGTAACCGCGATTGGGCTACGTAAGACCGTACTTACTAGACTAAGTCCTATGATCCTCCAAGTACGACGACAAGCCGTCACGACCGCCGCCGACCTGAAAACAGACTCCAACAGTCAAAGCCTTGATCGAAGAATCATGGTGAGGTCAGGCTTTAAGGTGCTTTAGGATAGTGTTTAAGGTTTAGGGTGCTTCAGATGTTCAGACACCTCTCAAACACAGCCCAAGACGATGTAGCTGTGGTGAGAACCGTAAACCCGATACCCCGGGCGAGCACTTGGATTCCGGAAGAATCCACAGGGTCAGTGTTTTCGGCCGTGACGGCCTGTGTTTGGATGGCGACTACACCTGGGTTCCAGGGCCATCTTGAACCATGAGCATTCACGGGTTTAGGGTTCAGGGTTGAGGGTTTAGGGCCAAGTTTAGGGTTTGGGCTCAGGCTTTGGGGTAGATGCTTTAGGTGCAAAAAAGACCCCACAGCTATGGGAAGCGATATTTGCACCATGGTACACGGACTTGCAGACCGTGCTCGCAGCTCGCCTAATGTAGGGGCCTTAATAATTAGAACAGGGTTTTGGGGGTTCCTTACTATAATCATGGTATAATAAAACCCCGAACCCTATTCTAATCAGGCCCCTACATTAACCCGAAAGGCTCTAAGGACTTATCTGCTGGAGGCTCTTGGGCCCACAGTCACAGACCATACAGGGCTTCTGGGCTGTTTTGAGCTTTAGCGTAACCTCAACCTCCTAGACCCTAAACCCAAAAAACCCTAAACCCTAAACCCTAACATTGAAGCAACAGTGTGCAAGTTTGGAACAAGTGCACTCCCCAGCCTGCAAACTATAACCCTGCATTCGAGCTGAAACTTGGGAAGCGATTCAGTAACCCCTAAACCCCCAACTACGACCTAAACCTCTCAAACCTAAACATCTCTACCCCAGACCGTGCGCTAAACCTCTAAACCCTAAACCGACCCCTAAACCTCTAAACCCTAAACCCTAAAACCGTCCCCATAAACTCTAAATCGACAGGGCCTCAACGGCTTCGCGAAAGACTGGCCGCTCTGGAGTCTCACCTGCAGGGTTTCCTGGTTTAGGGTTTGGGGGCAAGGCTTGTAGGGTTTAGGGTTTAGGGTTTCCTGGTTTAGGGTTTAGGGATAAGGCTTGTTGGGTTTAGGGTTTTTAGGGTTTTTAGGGCTCATAAGGTTTAGGGTTTAGGGGCAAGGCTTCCCTGTTTAGAATTTTTGGGTAGTTCTCTAAAGTAGGGTTCCGTTTTAAATTAGGTCCCCAAAATAGTATGCACCTTTATAAAAAGGACCCGAAACAAGGACCCTAACTCAGAGAGCTACCCATTCAGGGTTTGCTATTCTGAGATTCCGGATGTAGGGTTTGAGGTTTGAGGATTTTTGGGTGCAGGGTGTAGAGTTTCCTTGGGTTAGGATCGCTCTTTCTGTTCGTCAGTCCGTCTTTGTCTCCTTTTCCCCCTTTTTCATCTCACCCTTTTTGTTCGTTCTGCCGGTGTCTTCTTGTACATCGCTCTTGTGCCAGTGCTCTCGCATTCTATTCCGCTCGTTCATCACGAAAACCCGGCCTCCACTGCCAGCTGGCATGCAGAGGTGCGTTGAGGAACCTGGTGAATGCCCACCATCAACCCCACATCCAAACTCAACCCTCCAACCTTAAACTGAAGATGCCCTTGTAAGCGATATAGCAAAGCCTATGAAAGAATAATGCTAACCTCAAAGCTCCTGGTACCTGCCATGGTTCAAAGCTTGGTTGACTCCTGATAGGTTTGTATCTGCCATGGCGCTGATGATATGGCGTGTCGTGGTTCAGCACACTCCCGTGGTAGTAGTGAAGGCGGATGCGGCGGATGAGAGCCAGAAGGATCGTCTTTCCCGGTGCAAAGGAGACCTCATGCAGGCTCTCGGTATTTATGTTTAGGGGCTTGGGTGCTGGGGGCTTTTGGTTTGGGCAGGTTATACGGACTTAACAGCAAGCTCAAAATTATGTCCGTCCGTCCGTCTGTCTGTTTATGGGTCTGTCTGCTTGTTTAAAGATCAACTTACCTACCTACCTGTTCATCCATCCCTCCATCCATCCATCCAGCTGCAGCAGCAATACTGGTATACGAATGTCCCTGCCCCCACATCTAGCAAAGCCTGGGCAGTAACACGCCGTACAGATTCGGATTTGTTTTAGAGCACCTCAAGAGCCTTTCGAACACCCCTGTAAACCATAAGACAGGGCTGGCAGGCCACTCCGTGTTACGACATTTCGTTGGCTCCTCACGCCAAACCCTGAACCTTAAATCCTTCAGCCCCCATAGCCCTGAACCCTCGGCCTCAATTCAAAGTCCGTGAAGCCTTCAGTCTTAACCCCTGCAATGTCGAAGTAACACCGCAACCTAAGGCAGCCTTAGACGCCTTAGACCGTACACCCCCACACCTGCAAAACCTAACCCTTCTGGCCCGACGAAGCCTGCAACATCCTTCAACCCCAAACTAATGGAATCTGTCCTGAATGCCTGAAGCATTTCACCCCGGAAAAGGTGCTGGGTTTGGCAAGTTGCAATGGCTTGGAGGCAGCATGGCCGTCTGATGCCTCCACATCCTCGCTTTTGCAGCAGTTGGGGGAGGTGTCTGATGCCAAAAACCCAAACGGAACCATTCCGAACCTTAAGCAATTGAAAAGGGCTTTGCAGGGCTTTGGGGTTTAGACTTGGGCTTTGGCGGTTTAGGGTAAGGCCTGGAACCTAGAGGTGTCAAATGCGACATGCATAGAAAGGCCACTGCTTTGAGTATTGGATCCAAAGCCCCTTGCCCCGCAACCCTGCAGGAGCAGTCCTTCGCATACTGCCGTCTTCGCCACGGAGAGCTGCACGGAATTGGCTTGGGCAGCAACAAGCAGACTTGCGAGCGTGCAGCATGCCTGGCGCTGGCTTTGGCTTCGCTGTTGGAGCAGAGGCCGCCTCCTTGGTTGGAAGGCGAACTGTCTGGGGAGCTTCAGCGAGCTAAAGATGCAGAAGTCTTACACCTTGACTTGCCGCATGACGTGGAATCCATGGATGACATGCACGATGCCGGCAGAGACGCCCGCGGCTTCGCACGCGTCCCTGCTAATATGGAGCTTCCGCAGTCTGGGACTTGGGTGTGGTGGCTTGGTGGCATCCCTGTGGTGTTGTGCGAGGATCAAACAGTGGGAGTCTTCCAGCAGGGCAAGAACTGGCTGATGGAGGTTCTGGGCTTGACAGCATTGCCAGAAAGCCTGTGCGAAGGCAAGGTTTGTGAGGTGAACAAGGACCGATTAGACATGGTGTTTCCGGATATCTACTGCACCGGACTGTGGCAGTTGGCGCATCAGAACCAGCAGTGGCAGGTGGTGGCTGTAGGCCGAAACGTCGAAGAACGTTACCGCGCTGCATGTGTTGGGCTAGCATCACAGATCGCCAACGCGCATGGTGCTTCCAAATGGTGGCCCCAAGTGCAAAGAGAGTTTGACCACGGCCACTGGCTTCCGGCAGACGAACTCGGGCGTTTCTACGATGTAAAAAAGGAGGGCTTTTGGGCGAATGTGGCCTCGTGGCAGCAGGCCGACTCGAAACCAGGCCTGCCCCTGGCCCTGGCTGACATCAGCACTCTGCCCGGACTGACCAAGCAAGGCTTCAAAGATCTGAGAATGACTTGCCAGCCGGCACTGCACAGGGAGCTCCGAGCACAGGACGGCTATGCAGAAATTGACCTGACTCTGTCAGGCCGTCCCTGGCCATCGATTCTGGCAGCGCACAAGATGAGAGACGAAATCGTTGGACCAGGAGTAGTTCGCTTCGCCATTGCGTCGGATGAGAGAAAGCTGGATAAACGATAAACACCAGCAACATGCACCTTTAGTCTTCTGTCTTGTGACGCGAAGGGACGGCAAAATCACTACCTTCTCAGATCTGGAGCGCACAGAGGACGGGGGCTGTTCAAACTTCAGGCTCAGGAGTATCTTTTTGAATCACTGTGGGGCTCCCTTTCAATGCCCATATCTACTTTGTGACTATGGCTGGAGGTCCCGTAATATTCCCATGCTTTGCGCTACTGGCTGCAGTGCGTAAGCCGCAATATTCTCAGACGCGAGGAGACTTTTCAGAAGCAGTGTCTACCGAAGGATGAGTACAACGCCTTCCGCTGGGCGGCAGGATGGGAGGTGAAAGGCAGATGGGTGGCTTTTGAGTTTCTTAGTAGCTGAATGAATAAGCTTTTGCACTTCTTGGGATAATATGATCCTTGATAGTGCTGAATGCTTAACACTGTGGGGACTGTGGGGGTATGAACTCAGAAATTCCAGGCATGGTGTCTTCAAGAACGTGATCCGAGACTTCAAGGACAGGCAGTGTGATCGTGAAGAAAGCTTGCTCGAGTAGATAATTCAGGACTTGATGCCATAAGCCTCCTAAACCCAACCCTAAACCCTAAACCCTAAATACCCTAAAGTACAGGACCAGCACCAAATCCAGCAGTGGGCTGAGGGAGACTTGCTGCCTCCCACGACTGGCGCGAAAGCTCAGCTGTTTGTCGGGGGCCTCAGCCTTCGACCACGGTCTACAAGGGATCCAGAGTGGTGTAGGTGTACGGCCGCTCTAAAGGGATCTATAAGGGTTCAGGTGTAGGGTCGTTTTAAAGGGATCTATAAGGGATTGGGTGTAGGGTCGTTGTAAAGGGATCTATAAGGGTTTAGGTGTAAGGTCCCTTTAAAGGGATCTATAACGCCAGCAAACCATCTAAGGAAGGCTCCACAGCCTTAACCCCCACGAGGCTTCGAAGCTTAAGACATTGCTCAGACACAGCCCTGGAAAGACTCGAGACCAAGATCCCCGATTCCTGAACGGGAAGCATGCTGGAGCAAAGCACCTAGCCTGTGTAGCCTACGCCGTCTGTCTGATCCTTGTGCGCGCTCTAATCTACCCACTCTTGAAGTTCGAGGGGCTTCTGTCAACCTAAACCCTAAACCCCAAACTCAAAACCGTAAACCCGAAACCCTAAACCCCAAACCCCAAAGCCTAAACCCTAAGCCCAGGCCTGGCGCCTTTCGCGGCATTGGGAGAGGCGACTTCTGGAGTGGCTGATGACACGCCAGGCTTGTCCCAAGGTCGAGCAACTGGGTCCTTGTTGGATGCAATTTTACATTTTTGTTCTGATAACACCCAATAAGGATTAAAAATGATCATTTTAATATAGGCCCAACAGGGAACCAGGCAAGTCCGTAGCAGCGTGGCGCCGGAGCTGCGGAAGGAGTTTGACAACGCGGTTGCAGGCCAGAAAACCCCGCAAAGCAAGCTTCAAAGCCTCAACTTAACCCTAAACCGCCTTTTAATCCCTGTTGAGCAAAACCCGCGACCCTAGGCGCGAAACCGAAGAGTTTGAGTAAACCTTCTATGTAACCCTTAGGTCCTTAGGTCTTGGACCCTTTATCGAAACTGGGTCCTTTTTGGATACAATTTTACATTTTTGTTATGATAAAAAAAAACCAATAAGGATTAAAGAAGGATCATGTTTAATATAGGCCCAAGAGGGAACCAGGTTGACTCCCAGACCTGACACTCAAGGCGACCGTAGTTTCTTGTCCAGCAGCCCCTAAAGGCCCAAAGGACCCGATAAAGGGCTTCTATACGGTTTTGTGGTTTTTTAAAGGGCTGTTGAAGGGGCTTTCCGGGTTTAAGCTGCCAAAATTCGGGCTTTCTGGGCGTGTTTTTTTAAGGGTTCTGCAAGAGGGTTTTATGCGATTTTCTAGGGTTTGAAGCCATTCAAAGGACTCCAATTAAAGTTAGGTACTTGGGTTTCGGCTGGTAGTTATGCACGTTGGTATTTAGGCCAGTATATAACTCTTAGGGAGTATTCTGTCGATTTCGGGATTCTGGTCACTCTTTCTGGTGGCATATCCATTCCACCGCAAATGTCAAATGCCCAGTCGTTCGACAAACGAGATTCGGGGTGAGACTGTGAAGCCTGTTGACCTATTCTCACGCCCTGCAGGTGTTTGCAGGCAGAGTCCATCCCCGCCGCCCAACCAGGAGGCTTCTGAAGGCTTCACTCCTCTGCAGCTGCAGATGCTCAACGCGGCTCTGGAAAGTGATGAATGGAGATCCTGCCTGAAAAACTTGGACCCATCACGCTGGAATGATTACCGGTGGATTGAAAACAAGTACTATGACCAGCTGCACTGGATGAGCGCAGGCGATGAGATTCTGTTTGGTCACGACAGCATCAGTGCACGATTCCGGCACGGTCAGCACAACAAGCAGCCACTGGAGCAGTCGATTCAGGAGCTTGCTGATGGTCCTGACTGGGTAGACTCTATGCCCGCTTTGGTCGCGGTCCGTTTGCATGGGGATATCATCGTTGTCTTCGGGAACCGACGTCTCTACTGTTGCAAGGAGGCTTACAAGCTCAGACGCTCTGACCTACACATGAAAATCATCATCCACGAGTTCCCCTCTTGCCACAGCATAGAGGATCAAGGCTTGCGAAACGTGTTTAAACTTAGAGCCATACAGGCCGCGAGCACCAAGTGCCGCGGCCGAGATGTTAAGCTGAATCAGCGGAAGCGGCCATGTGGTTGGTGAAACCTGCTTGAGCCGCTGAGCAATGTTCCAGTCTATCGGTGTGACGACTTGGCGCGAGTTGCAAAAGCCGACGCGCAAGATTAGGACTACTGTTGACGTTGTTCTGCCTGTCAGGGGTGGAGTTGCTGCTGTTCGTCTTTTCCTGCAATTTACTAGCGACTAATGTGTCAATCGTTTTCACTATATGCTAACTTATTGATGTATGACGATGAATGATAGAGTTGCAATGAGGTCTCTATGCTTTTTGCCGTCTGTTTTGATTAACTTGCCTAAACCCTAAACACTAAAACCCTCTCCCCAGCAGCCTTAAACCCTGAAACCTAAACTTATCGCATCCCCAGCCCTGGACTCGACCCGATACCGTAAAAGCGCAGCGCGACAACGACGATGCGCTGAAGAACCAGCCAGTATAGCAAGAACGGTCACAACAGGAGTAGTCGTCAGCGTGGAGGGCTTAGGGTCAACTCTGCACCTCAGCACCCCAGATCCTCAACCCAACGGGCCCGGAAAGCAAGCCTCCCACCCTCCTTAGATCAACCTGGACACGGATCGTAAAGCCCTCAAACACCGCCCTCCTCCCACAGAATAAGGGCAACAGAGAGTATCACCGTAAATCCCGCGCCTCATATCCCTACACCCCTCAACCCCACGAGAACCAACCCTCAACCCCTGATAACACTCATTCGAATTCTTATATAAGCCTTGTGCAACCTGTATAGACCGTGCTAGAGCCCAACCTCTCCTCCTCAGATGCTCCACCCTGACACTCGAATCCTCGAAGCACTAAACCCCTAAACTCGAAACCAGAACCTTATAGACCCCAAAACAGATCCCTAACTTATACTTGTAGAACCCTGAAATGTAGGTTCTTACAGAACCCTGAATGCCCTCTTGTACATATATATATATATAGATCGAGATCTAGATCTAGAACTAGATATAGATATAGATATAGATGTTTTAAAGGAAACCGTTTAGATCCCTTCAAAGGAACCCTTGTAGAACCCCTGTATATCCCCTAATTACAAGTAATCTCTTGCAAGTAAACCCTACACCCTAAACCCTAAACCCTACACCCTAAACCCTACACCCCTAGACCCTAAACCCTAAACGCCTTAAGCCTTAAACGGTACTCAGGGCAGTGGGCGCGGGGAGTCAAGCACCAGCACTGGAGGAGTGGCCGGACTTCCCACCCGCCGCGCCGGCTTTCAAAGGTGTTTAGGGTTGATATTTAGAATCCTATAAGGTAATCCCAAAAAGGAAATACTAAGGAGCCTGTGGGTAGAACAGGGTTATAGTGCCTTAGTAATTCGGTTGATGATATCAATCCTGCGTTACCCACAATAAGGAATATTACCATAATTCCCATAGTTCAGGGTCCTTAAGGTAATGTAGGATTTACTTCATCAACAGTATGGGGTTTTGTTCGAACGGGTATCCTTTTTCAAGGTCTTCTTTGGGGGTTGAGGGTTCAGGGTGTACAGGGTTTGGTAGGGTTAGCGTTACGGGGCTTAGGATTATAGGCTGTAGGGTTTGAGCTTTCCAGCTTTTTATTGTAGGCTAAACCCTAAACCCTAAAACCCTCAACCCTAAAACCCGAAACCCTAAACAAAACTCTAAACCTGTTGTGGTACACGCGCCAGTCCATTGCCACCCTGACGCCTGAGTTCCTCGAGCCCGAATCCTGTCCCAAGCCCTATAAGCCCTAAACCCACAAACCGTAAGCCCCGAAACCCCAAACCGCAAATCCCTAAACGCCAAGCCCTAAACTGGCCCCAAGCCTCAAACTCTCAACCTTATAGCCCCAACCCCTAACCGCCAACCCCAAACCCCAAACCTGAACCCTAAACCGTAGGCTCCAAGTACTCAAGCAATATTTTTCTGCTCACCAGGGCCTCGCTTTTGCCACCGCTGGGGATTACGCATATATTTGTTGGTTCAATGCTCGGACTCTCAATGGAAGGTAAGACAAATCTAGCCGTGGGCTCCATAGTCGCTCCTTTTGGGGATTACCCTCTAGGATCCTAAATAGAGACCACAAACAGGACCTACTTTGGAGCCTTTGGGTATAGTTCAACCCTAAACCCTAAACCTTAAACCCTAAACCCTATAACCCTGAAGGACTCCTTATTGGAAGCTTCAAAACTTCAGGAAGGTTACTGTGCCCAAGCCTGGCTCTACTTGTCTGCTTCGCGCCTACACTCGTTCCGGGTTCTTATTGCTCAGGCTGACATGAATAGCATCTTGTTAGGAAAACATA